GCCGTGCCTTGTTCAGGGCCGTGCCTTGTTCACGGCCGTGCCTTGTTCAGGGCCGTGCCTTGTTCAGGGCCGTGCCTTGTTCAGGGCCGTGCCTTGTTCAGGGCCGTGCCTTGTTCACGGCCGTGCCTTGTTCACGGCCGTGCCTTGTTCAGGGCCGTGCCTTGTTCAGGGCCGTGCCTTGTTCACGGCCGTGCCTTGTTCAGGGCCGTGCCTTGTTCAGGGCCGTGCCTTGTTCACGGCCGTGCCTTGTTCAGGGCCGTGCCTTGTTCAGGGCCGTGCCTTGTTCAGGGCCGTGCCTTGTTCAGGGACGTGCCTTGTTCACGGCCGTGTTCACTGACGGTATCTTCAGTACAACGGGAGTGAGAGCGCCGACGGGGAGTGGGAGCCATAGACGATTATGAGGGAGCAGTGTTGTGATGGGTTAATGTATACAGTCCCGAGGATTAAGGAGGACCCGGCCGGTGACCGCTAAGCACCATCTGCTCTTTGCCCTTTTGAATCCATGTCATTGTGGACTGAAGGCTGGAGGCGGCGTTGTCAATATTCCCATTGTCTTGTGTCTGCGAGAGGGAGGGGGGAGGGGGGCCTCGCGCCCCTGGGTGGCCCCCCCCCCTCATGACCCACGCTGCCTCACCAGCTTCTCCCTCACAATATTGTGTGCAAATTGGTTCCTGTTGTTCTAGTTTCTGTGCTCTAATGTATGTGTATTCACCTAGTTATATTCACCTAGTTGTGCTTGCGGGGGTTGAGCACTGCTTTTTCAGTCCGCCTCTCAACTGTCAATCAACTGTTACTATCTACTAACTAACTTCCCCTCTCCCCCAAAAAAAAGGAAGCAGCCCGTAACAGCTGTTTAACTCCTATGCACTTATTTACTGCTTGGTAACAGGGGGCATCAGGGTGAAAGAAACTCTGCCCATTTGTCTCTGCCGGCGCCGGGAATCGAACCCGGGTCACAGGATTACGGGTAACGCGCGCTGTCTACTCAGCTACCAGACTCCTGTGATTTGTGTGTGTAAATGGTGAGGAACCCGCCCACGATACAGCAAGCATTTCCTCTCTGGATAACGACACTGAGACGCTGATAAGAAGAAACAGGCTGGTCTTTGGTCTCTGGTTTACCTAACGAGTTCATCACCCGACTCTTGCTGGAACTTAAGTGGAAGGTGTTATCCGCCAGACGTCAAGGAACAGCAGACAGTTACTTCACTGCAAAGAGGCTCTGTTGACACTATAAGTACTGGAAGCTTTCTTTAACCCTTACTAACATATATTACTTCCAATGATTTCCTGTTAGAAAATTGATAGACTTACGGCCTAATCATCCGACCAGAAGATAAGATTAAAGCCTTAAACAAGGAGAGACCTGACCATCTACCTTGTTATATAACACAAGAACAATTACACTGCAGAAGACCTATTGACCCATACGAGGCAGCTCCTGTGTGTGTGTGTGTGTGTGTGTGCAGTGTGTGTGTGTGAGCTGTGTGTGTGTGTGTGTGCAGTGTGTGTGTGTGTGAGCTGTGTGTGTGTGTGTGTGCAGTGTGTGTGTGTGTGTGAGCTGTGTGTGTGTGTGTGTGTGCAGTGTGTGTGTGTGTGAGCTGTGTGTGCAGCTCCCCTCCAAAACTCGTTCATATTGATGTATATAACCTACGCTTGAAGCACTCAAGTGATCCCACGTGGACTATTTTACCCAGTAGTTTGCTACACAAATGAACAACCGTGTTTCCAAGTCAGCATTTACCCAGGTCCTTCATGAATCTAAACTTATTCAATTTATATCCAATGTTTCGAGTTCCATAAATCTCTTTAACAGCTTGTACGACTTTTTCATAGCTCAGTAAAAGCTCCTTTGACGACCCTTTCTGTTAGCAAAGCACCTGAGAGGATTTTATGAAGTAGTTCAATCTGTTTGAAATGTATTTAAATGTATTTTACAAAACTGATTATTTTCGACCAATGCATACGACAAAAGAATTATCATTAACTTGCATATGAGCTAACACCGTTTTTTTAATACATTCTGGGAATATATTTAACGTGTGAGTTTAGAGAGGCAAAAGTTTGGAGGTGCGTTGTTCAGGGACTTGCTGAGAATAGGTTTTGAAACTGTATTACAATTACGATGCTAAGTCTCTGTCTCAGCTGTGTGTGTGTGTGTGTGTGTGTGTGTGTGTGTGTGTGTGTGTGTGTGTGTGTGTGTGTGTGTGTGTGTGTGTGCGTGTGCGTGCGTGAGCGCGCGCGCTTGCCTCATCTGTGTGTATCCAGGGAGCGGAGGCAGACTTACCTGTGGCCAGGGAGAGTGTGTGTAATAGCCCCCTAGACGACAACCATAATGTGATCATCAGTTCACTGAAGGAATTACCGCCTAGTGTTGGCAAGCCTCACCTGTGAGGACAAGGAGGTGGGGGGGGGGGGGGGTTAAACCCCCCTATGTTCCCAACTCGAGTAATGGAAATCCAATAAATGAGGTTTGATTTAATGGTGTGGTTGGCCTCAATGACCCGTCCCATTGGCTGATCAGTCCTGCGTCTGATATCTTTATGGCGGGGTTAATCGCTTTATTTGCGGACTTTCTGTCACGATGGGTCCATTGAGTGCGGACAAAGTGCGGGCTTTTGATTGCAGCGTTTGATTGACGGGCGCCCGAGAGCTGGCCAGGAACGTGTGAACATTGAGTTATTCTCGCCGAGCTGGCCATGTTTAGGGCCTTTCACGGGGCTGTACTCCCTTATCCCTCCTCCCTCACCCTTCAGTCCCTCACCCACACACACTTCACTCCCTTGCTCCCTCACCTCCCCTCACCCCCCCATTCCCTCAGCCGTACACTCTCAGCTCCCTCGGAACCCCTCACTGAGCATGTCATCTCCCAGCGCCCCGATTAGCCTCCCATCATTCCCTAGCCTAGTTCTTCGTCCCTGAGCTGGGCCGTCCTCCCTCACCTGATGTTCCCGTCCCCCGTCCCTTGCTCTGTGCCCTCCGTCCTCTGTCTCTCGAACTCCATCCTGTCTCCATGTCCCAGCTTCCTCACCTGTCATCGTGGCTAATATTCCTGACCCGTCACCATACCCCGGCTCCGTGACCCGTCGGGACCCGTGACTCCGTGACCCCTAGGAGGGCCCTCGGGACCTCTGTGGGACCTGGCACCGTGGGGTCCGCACCTGAGGGTAACACGCCAGCGAAGTTTAATACGGTAAAGCTTGCTACGATTGAAGCTTTGCTATATTTACCGTCTTAAGCCAGAGTTGGTGGAGTTGAGGCAGTGCAGACCAGGCTGGGGGCCCCTCAGACCAGGCTGGGCCCCCTCGGACCAGGCTGGGCCCCCTCGGACCAGGCTGGGCCCCCTCGGACCAGGCTGGGCCCCCTCGGACCAGGCTGGGCCCCCTCGGACCAGGCTGGGCCCCCTCGGACCAGGCTGGGCCCCCTCGGACTTATATATATATATATATATATATATATATATATATATATATATATATATATATATATATAATGAACAATATTTAGGGACGATCGCTAAACAGCTGTTCTGGTTATGTGACAAAAATGTTTTCCATTTCAGTTGATGAAGAGAACTAATGGCATGAACATACGCGCGCGCGCACACTCTCATGGCAGGTCTTGTGGGCATACAAAGCTAAGTATTATTACGCACCGTATAAATTATCCTCCGACCATTTGGTGAGGCCGCCTCGGTCATCCTCGTGGCGTGGTGGCCCCCCTTCACGGCGGCCCCCCACCCCCCTGCTGGGGGAATTTGGCCCCCTCCCCATTTACGGGGAGCACAAAACTGGAGCGACCAAACATATTAATTCCCGTCCAGCGTTTAATACATCACTACTCGCTAATTGTACGAAATCTCTCGGGGGTGACTGGTATCGTACCTTCGTAGGTTACTCACGAACAGCAACACGCGGCAGAGGTCAGTACTGTGTACAGGTCCTGGGAGGAGCTCTAGAATGACTGGTGAACAAAGGTGTCGGGAAGGTAAAAGTTGGTAGTTGGTTCCCCAAAGTGACTTTGGAATTAACGAACGAGAGAATCTAGATTGCTTTTCTTGGATTAGTAGTATTGGACGCATAGGTACTGTGTGCAGCTTTATTGTAAGTGTTAAGTAACTGTTCTTAAACAGGGAGTGCACGGGGGTCCCCTGGGAGTGCACGGGGGTCCCCTGGGAGTGCACGGGGGGTCCCCTGGGAGTGCACGGGGGTCCCCTGGGAGTGCACGGGGGGTCCCCTGAGAGTGCACGGGGGTCCCCTGGGAGTGCACGGGGTTCCCCTGGGAGTGCACGGGGTTCCCCTGGGAGTGCACGGGGGTCCCCTGGGAGTGCACGGGGGTCCCCTGGGAGTGCACGGGGGTCCCCTGGGAGTGCACGGGGGTCCTCTGGGAGTGCACGGGGGGTCCCCTGGCAGTGCACGGGGGTCCCCCTGGGAGTGCACGGGGGGTCCCCTGGGAGTGGGAGCCGTCAAAGCAGCGGTTGAAGAAAGGGAGAGATACAAGTCTGAAGCAGGAGGCTATTAACCTTAAATGAGGGGACAGGTTATCCTATCGGGCAACGGCTTTTATGTGAATGGTCTTAAGAATGTGAGTGGCACTAAACGTACTGCACGTGCACGTGCAGGATGTTTGACGCGCGTGTGTGGAGCTGAAGAAGCTGCACATTTTTAGAGTAAAGTAAGTTTAGAGTTAATTTTTAGAGCCAGAGTAAACTATTAGCCAGTTTGATAGCACTGTTGATTATATTCATTTCATTTGGTAATTACAATACGGCAGGGTATTGTAATTGTAACTCTTGGCTTCGTAATTACAATACGCGAGGCTTCCAGGATAAATTAAGATGTCACTGGATATTGCTAACATATTAGAACTCTTGAAATAAAAATTGCTCGTTAGGAATATTACTCTCTGGGAGGACAAAGTATTTTTGGTGACTCTTGCCTTGTGGCTTTACAGTCTACAGTCACATTATACGTACAGCAGAAGCGTTTGGGGTTATGATATTAGGAGGTGACGAAGATATTAAGGTTGTGTGCCTTGAGGCGTGCCTTGAGGCGTGCCTTGTGGCGTGCCTTGAGGCGTGCCTTGTGGTGTGCCTTGTGGCGTGCCTTGATGCGTGCCTTGTGGTGTGCCTTGTGGCGTGCCTTGTGGTGTGCCTTGTGGCGTGCCTTGAGGCGTGCCTTGTGGTGTGCCTTGAGGCGTGCCTTGAGGCGTGTTTTGTGGCGTGCCTTGAGGCGTGCCTTGTGGTGTGCCTTGAGGCGTGCCTTGAGGCGTGTTTTGTGGCGTGCCTTGAGGCGTGCCTTGAGGCGTGCCTTGTGGTGTGCCTTGAGGCGTGTTTTGTGGCGTGCCTTGAGGCGTGCCTTGTGGCGTGCCTTGAGGCGTGCCTTGTGGCGTGCCTTGTGGCGTGCCTTGTGGTGTGCCTTGAGGCGTGCCTTGAGGCGTGTTTTGTGGCGTGCCTTGAGGCGTGTTTTGTGGCGTGCCTTGAGGCGTGCCTTGCGGCGTGCCTTGAGGCGTGCCTTGAGGCGTGTTTTGTGGCGTGCCTTGAGGCGTGCCTTGTGGCGTGCCTTGTGGCGTGCCTTGAGGCGTGCCTTGAGGCGTGTTTTGTGGCGTGCCTTGTGGCGTGCCTTGAGGCGTGCCTTGAGGCGTGTTTTGTGGCGTGCCTTGTGGCGTGCCTTGAGGCGTGCCTTGAGGCGTGCCTTGAGGCGTGCCTTGTGGCTTGCCTTGTGGCGTGCCTTGAGGCGTGCCTTGTGGCGTGCCTTGAGGCGTGCCTTGTGGCGTGCCTTGAGGCGTGCCTTGTGGCGTGCCTTGAGGCGTGCCTTGTGGCGTGCCTTGAGGCGTGTTTTGTGGCGTGCCTTGAGGCGTGCCTTGAGGCGTGCCTTGAGGCGTGCCTTGTGGCGTGCCTTGAGGCGTGCCTTGTGGCGTGCCTTGTGGCGTGCCTTGAGGCGTGCCTTGAGGCGTGCCTTGAGGCGTGCCTTGTGGCGTGCCTTGTGGCGTGCCTTGAGGCGTGCCTTGAGGCGTGCCTTGAGGCGTGCCTTGTGGCGTGCCTTGAGGCGTGCCTTGTGGCGTGCCTTGAGGCGTGCCTTGAGGCGTGTTTTGTGGCGTGCCTTGTGGCGTGCCTTGAGGCGTGCCTTGAGGCGTGCCTTGAGGCGTGCCTTGTGGCGTGCCTTGTGGCGTGCCTTGAGGCGTGTTTTGTGGCGTGCCTTGAGGCGTGCCTTGAGGCGTGCCTTGTGGCTTGCCTTGTGGCGTGCCTTGTGGCGTGCCTTGTGGCGTGCCTTGTGGCGTGCCTTGTGGCTTGCCTTGTGGCGTGCCTTGTGGCGTGCCTTGAGGCGTGCCTTGTGGCGTGCCTTGTGGCTTGCCTTGTGGCTTGCCTTGTGGCGTGCCTTGTGGCGTGCCTTGAGGCGTGCCTTGTGGCGTGCCTTGTGGCGTGCCTTGTGGCTTGCCTTGTGGCGTGCCTTGAGGCGTGCCTTGTGGCTTGCCTTGTGGCGTGCCTTGTGGCTTGCCTTGTGGCGTGCCTTGTGGCGTGCCTTGTGGCTTGCCTTGTGGCGTGCCTTGAGGCGTGCCTTGAGGCGTGCCTTGTGGCGTGCCTTGTGGCTTGCCTTGTGGCTTGCCTTGTGGCGTGCCTTGAGGCGTGCCTTGTGGCTTGCCTTGTGGCTTGCCTTGTGGCTTGCCTTGTGGCGTGCCTTGAGGCGTGCCTTGTGGCGTGCCTTGAGGCGTGCCTTGTGGCTTGCCTTGTGGCGTGCCTTGTGGCGTGCCTTGAGGCGTGCCTTGTGGCGTGCCTTGTGGCTTGCCTTGTGGCGTGCCTCGAGGCGTGCCTTATGGCTTGCCTTGTGGCTTGCCTTGTGGCGTGCCTTGTGGCGTGCCTTGTGGCGTGCCTTGTGGCGTGCCTTGTGGCTTGCCTTGTGGCGTGCCTTGAGGCGTGCCTTGTGGCGTGCCTTGTGGCTTGCCTTGTGGCTTGCCTTGTGGCGTGCCTTGTGGCTTGGCTTGTGGCGTGCCTTGTGGCGTGCCTTGTGGCGTGCCTTGTGGCTTGCCTTGTGGCGTGCCTTGAGGCGTGCCTTGTGGCGTGCCTTGTGGCTTGCCTTGTGGCGTGCCTTGAGGCGTGCCTTGTTTCTTGCCTTATGGCTTGCCTTGATGCGTGCCTTGTGGCTTGCCTTGTGGCTTGCCTTGAGGCGTGCCTTGTGGCTTGCCTTGAGGCGTGCCTTGTGGCGTGCCTTGAGGCGTGCCTTGTGGCGTGCCTTGAGGCGTGCCTTGTGGCTTGCCTTGTGGCTTGCCTTGTGGCGTGCCTTGTGGCTTGCCTTGTGGCGTGCCTTGAGGCGTGTTTTGTGGCGTGCCTTGAGGCGTGCCTTGTGGCGTGCCTTGAGGCGTGTTTTGTGGCGTGCGTTGAGGCGTGCCTTTGGGCGTGCCTTGTGGCGTGCCTTGAGGCGTGCCTTGTGGCGTGCCTTGTGGCGTGCCTTGTGGCGTGCCTTGTGGCTTGCCTTGTGGCGTGCCTTGAGGCGTGCCTTGTGGCGTGCCTTGAGGCGTGCCTTGAGGCGTGCCTTGTGGCTTGCCTTGTGGCTTGCCTTGTGGCGTGCCTTGAGGCGTGCCTTGAGGCGTGCCTTGAGGCGTGCCTTGAGGCGTGCCTTGAGGCGTGTTTTGTGGCGTGCCTTGAGGCGTGCCTTGAGGCGTGCCTTGAGGCGTGCCTTGTGGCGTGCCTGCACGGGCCTACAAGGTAGCCACAAGGAGGCGCGTCAGCAAGGAACGTCTCGTCCTAATCAAGATAACAATTTTTACAGAATTAAGTTACATTGAATTTTAGTCAGTTATTTTTATCATTTCATGCTGAGGTCGCAAATTGATTGTGGATATGATCAGCCCGGGTGGTGCTGTTTAACGCTGATAATTACTATTTTCATATACGCTTTATTTAAGATTATAATATTACTGGTAATAGAACTGCTGTTTAATTTAAACTTTTGGTGGACAAAATCTCCAACCTAAAAGAAGGTTTTCGTTCTCGTCCACTCGAGGCCTACCATGTAAACAAAAATATTATTAGATATTTATTCCACTTCCACTAGAATCGGATTATACGAAGCTACTTGGTCTCCAGCTGTGTGGTGCCACCTGTTCCATCTTTGTGTTACCCAGTGTTTCAGGCCGTCGGTGTGATACCACCTGCCAACCTGAAGGTTTAAAGGTACCTCTTGATCTGTGGGAGCCGATGGGGTACCTCCCTACACTAACCTGGCATCGTTAGGTATTGCGAGATCTGCAGCAGTAGTTCCAGCACCACCTTGATGAACCCCGAGTGTATAACAGTTGGTCTCCGAGCGAGTCAACACGTCACAAGGCTAACTCCGGGTCAGTAGCCAAGAATGGAAGGTTATATACTCGTCAAGAACCACCGCGGGGATATTAACGAGTCGTACCGCCAGGAAAAGTTTGCCTTTGTAACCACCGTACACAGTCTGGGACTTCATATATCCCATGAATACTTGCCCGGTCCCCAGCGCGTCTTGAGCCGGGCTGACTCGCTCAAATCTGGCCAAGAATAAAGGTCGTTCTGCCGGCCGCGCTGTGGCGACACAATGGCGGACTAGCCAGCCCAGCCAATTTGTCAGCTATTAGTATTCCCTTCATTTGGCCTGAATAACGCTGGCCCTGGCTGGGGAGGCAAAGTTTCCCAAGTCTAAATATGTCAGGTCGCGACAAAAGGGAGTTTAGCGGCACAAAAGCTTCTCGAGTCCATTGAGGTTCCAGCCTCCCAGAGGAGTCCCGTCACGCCTTTGTCCTCTCGAGAGCCTCCCGCCTCCCAACCATCCCAGCCTCATGGCTTCACGTTTCTTTAAAATTCCCTCACGATGACGATTTTCTGGTGTTAGTCGACACGTAATATGTTGTGTGTCCGCCTGCAGGTGTTTGAGCCACTTAGTTGCATGTTGTGACGGTTTGAGGTTGAAGTATATTACACAAGGTTTCAGGTTGTGAGTCGAAGCCGGAGTCAGTGGAGGGACGGAAGAGTGTTGACAGCCTTCACAAGTCTGCTCAGCGCACTGGAAGATGTTATCAGTCAGAGGTGCTCCGTCAGGTGGCCAGGTAGCTGCCACCCTCAGCGTACCTCCTTTCTATCCTGCCCTCAGCAATGGACTCTCTATCCTGCCCTCGGCAATGCACACACTATCCTGCCCTCAGCAATGCACTCTCTATCCTGCCCTCGGCAATGCACTCTCTATCCTGCCCTCGGCAATGCACACTCTATCCTGCCCTCGACAATGCACACACTATCCTGCCCTCGGCAATGCACACTCTATCCTGCCCTCGGCAATGCACACACTATCCTGCAGTAAATCTCTCCCATATTCTGTCTTTCCCAATTAACCTTCTCTACTTCCAGTCGTTCGCACTACACCTTTCACATATCCTACCATATACATACACTGTAAATTTTTGTTTCACTGACGGCGGTGTATCCTGCCGTCCGTGATCACTCCCGCCGGAGTATCCTCCCGCCCGTTGTACTCAATCTGTTCTGCCTTTAAAGTCTCGCCGTTATTCTCACGGCAGAAGGTCGAATTGTTTACATTCTTCAGTGTGTATTTACTATTTGTATTTACTATTTGTATTCAGAAACTTGTGTAAAGAATCATTCAGAACTTTGTATACCACATATGTCAGGCCAATCCTGGAGTATGCAGCCCCAGCATGGAGTCCATATCTAGTCAAGGATAAGACTAAACTGGAAAAGGTTCAAAGGTTTGCCACCAGACTAGTACCCGAGCTGAGAGGTATGAGCTACGAGGAGAGACTACGGGAATTAAACCTCACTTCGCTGGAAGACAGAAGAGTTAGGGGGGACATGATCACCACATTCAAGATTCTGAAGGGAATTGATAGGGTGGATAAAGACAGTCTATTTAACACAAGGGGAACACGCACAAGGGGACACAGGTGGAAACTGAGTGCCCAAATGAGCCACAGAGATATTAGAAAGAACTTTTTTAGTGTCAGAGTGGTTGACAAATGGAATGCATTAGGGGGTGATGTGGTGGAGGCTGACTCCATACACAGTTTCAAATGTAGATATGACAAAGCCCGATAGGCTCAGGAATCTGTACACCTGTTGATTGACGGTTGAGAGGCGGGACCAAAGAGCCAGAGCTCAACCCCCGCAAACACAACTAGGTGAGTACAACTAGGTGAGTACACACACACACACACACACACACACACACACACACACACACACACACACAAAAAAAAAAACAGAAGGGGCATATACAGAAAGCGACAAGGAAATCTGCGAGGTACTGAATGCAAAATTCCATAGTGTTCACAACCGAGCCTGAGCAGCTCCCATTGTTAGAAGCGATTACCCAAGATGAAACACTATCAGATATAGAGGTGACAGCAGCAGAGGAGGTAATGAAACAGTTGACAACACTGGATGCAAATAAAGCTGTTGGACCAGACAAAGTATCACCGTGGATACTTAAAGAGGCAGCGCAGGCTCTCGGCGTGCCTCTGGCAATGATCTTTAATGAGTCACTTATGTCGGGAGAATTGCCCAGTTGCTGGAAGGAGGCAAATGTCGTACCGATTTTCAAGAAAGGTGATAGGGAGGAGGCACTTAACTACAGACCCGTATCACTCACAAGCATCCCCTGCAAAATACTTGAAAGAATAATTAGGCTAAGATTTGTTGAGCACCTGGAGAGCATTGGGTTTGTAAACAAGCACCAACATGGGTTCTGGACAGGGAAATCATGCCTAACAAACCTTTTAGAATTCTATGATAAAGTAACAAGGATAAGGCAGGACAGAGAAGGCATGGCAGACTGCATATTTCTTGACTGCCAAAAGGCCTTTGATACAGTACCGCACATGAGACTGCTATACAAACTTGAGAGGCAGGCAGGAGTAAGCGGAAAGGCCCTAGTATGGGTGAAGAACTACCTAACAGGAAGGAGCCAGAGGGTAATGGTAAGGGGCGAGAAGTCGGACTGGCGAACAGTAACAAGTGGAGTACCTCAAGGATCGGTGCTGGGACCAATCCTCTTTCTAATTTGCGTAAATGATATGTTTACAGGAGTGGAATCATAGATGTCAATGTTTGCGGATGACGCAAAATTAATGAGAAGAGTTGTGACAGACGAGGATTGTAGGATCCTCCAAGAGGACTTAAACAGGTTGCAGAGATGGTCAGGGAAATGGCTACTGGAGTTTAACACCAGTAAATGTAAAGTTATGGAAATGGGATCAGGTGATAGGAGATTAACGTTCTGTTAATAATAACAGAACGAGGGGACATGGGTGGAAACTGGAAACTCAGATGAGTCACAGAGATGTTAGGAAGTTTTCTTTTAGCGTGAGAGTAGTGGAAAAATGGAATGCACTTGGGGAACAGGTTGTGGAAGCAAATACTATTCATACTTTTAAAACTAGGTATGATAGGGAAATGGGACAGGAGTCATTGCTGTAAACAACCGATAGCTAGAAAGGCGGGATCCAAGAGTCAATGCTCGATCCTGCAAGCACAAATAGGTGAGTACAAATAGGTGAGTACACACACACACACACACACACACACACACACACACACACACACACACACACACACACACACACACACACACTCACACACACACACACACACACACACACACACACACACACACACACACACACACACACACACACATCCCCAAGATGCAGCCAGTAACAGCTGTTGTTGTTTGTTGTTTTAGATTCAGCTCCTCAGAACAAAAAGTTCCAAGTAGCACGGGCTATGGTGAGCCCGTAACTGGAGTAAGTAGCAGCTGTCTCCCAGGTACCTATATACTGGTAGGTGAACAGGTACATCAGGTGAAAAGAACATTGCTGATTTGCTTCTTCCCTGGCCAGGAATCGAAGCGTTTTGCGCCTGCATGTCGCCCTTTAGCTCTTGGACCCCCTTCTTTTGTTGCCGCCGGTTGTGTAATGAAATTTCAGCCTTATTTCCCCCTATCATAAATACGTTCTGCAGGTGTGAAGGGAGTGAGTGTGTCCTGCTTCGTCCTGCTCCTGAACCTCCTTACAGTGTCCCGCCGCCCTCACCTGGCGCTGAAAGAAAACTTTAAGAACATCTGTGACTCGTCCGTCTCTAAAGCTGTGACTCGTCCGTCTCTAAAGCTGTGACTCGTCCGTCTCTAAAGCTGTGACTCGTCCGTCTCTAAAGCTGTGACTCGTCAGTCTCTAAAGCTGTGACTCGTCCGTCTCTAAAGCTGTGACTCGTCCGTCTCTAAAGCTGTGACTCGTCAGTCTCTAAAGCTGTGACTCGTCCGTCTCTAAAGCTGTGACTCGTCAGTCTCTAAAGCTGTGACTCGTCAGTCTCTAAAGCTGTGACTCGTCCGTCTCTAAAGCTGTGACTCGTCCGTCTCTAAAGCTGTGACTCGTCAGTCTCTAAAGCTGTGACTCGTCCGTCTCTAAAGCTGTGACTCGTCAGTCTCTAAAGCTGTGACTCGTCCGTCTCTAAAGCTGTGACTCGTCCGTCTCTAAAGCTGTGACTCGTCCGTCTCTAAAGCTGTGACTCGTCAGTCTCTAAAGCTGTGACTCGTCAGTCTCTAAAGCTGTGACTCGTCCGTCTCTAAAGCTGTGACTCGTCCGTCTCTAAAGCTGTGACTCGTCAGTCTCTAAAGCTGTGACTCGTCCGTCTCTAAAGCTGTGACTCGTCCGTCTCTAAAGCTGTGACTCGTCCGTCTCTAAAGCTGTGACTCGTCCGTCTCTAAAGCTACCGTCAATGGTCGCTTGTGTTATTGGTGCTCATTTTAAACATTTCCTCTTTCCACTGAGTCAATCCCCCCTCTCCCACCTCTAAGTATTTTATACGTCTTTATCATCTCTCTCTCTCTCTCTCTCTCTCTCTCTCTCTCTCTCTCTCTCTCTCTCTCTCTCTCTCTCTCTCTCTCTCTCTCTCTCTCTCTCTCTCTCTCTCTCTCTCTCTCTCTCTCTCTCTCTCTCTCTCTCTCTCTCTCTCTCTCTCTCTCTCTCTCTCTCTCTCTCTCTCTCTCTCTCTCTCTCTCTCTCTCTCTCTCTCTCTCTCTCTCTCTCTCTCTCTCTCTCTCTCTCTCTCTCTCTCTCTCTCTCTCTCTCTCTCTCTCTCTCTCTCTCTCTCTCTCTCTCTCTCTCTCTCTTTTCTCTCTCTTCTCTTCTATCGACGTGTGTGTGAGGGGGAGGGGGGCTACATTGGCATATCATGTCCCCTCTTCCTCTCCCCTTTCTCTCTCTTGAGTCACTTTCCCGTTAATATGTTTGTAAGAAGACCACCAATTATATTTCATAATCCAGTGTCAATCTCGTGGTGGGGCTCCCATTACCCGCGTTCTCTCACCAGAGGCACCAGCGGCAGCTGAGGCACCAGCGGCTGCTGAGGCACCAGCGGCAGCTGAGGCACCAGCGGCAGCTGAGGCACCAGCGGCAGCTGAGGCACCAGCATCAGCTGAGGCACCAGCATCAGCCGAGGCACCAGCGGCCATTGCCGACCGTTAGTACTGGGGGTTATCCCACCCTTAGTACTTCACAGGTTCATTAAGGATACCACTAGAGACTGGGGCTTCCTACCTGTGTTGTGTTCTCCCACGGTGGTAATGAGCTCCGACCACCAGAGGTCTCTCTGGGTGCTCTCACTCGGCGCTCTCACCCGGCGCTCTCACCCGGCGCTCACACTGTGGGCCGTGAGCAGGTTGTCAACATATTTGAATAAAATATGTTCCTCCTATAGGGTTTTTGTTGCGCGAAGCAAGCACACACACACACACATACACACACACACACACACACACACACACACACACACACACACACACACACCACACACATACATACATACATACATACACACACACACACACACACACACACACACACACACACACACACACACACACACACACTTTGTTTGCTGGGGGGGGGGCCTGGTAGCCTGGTGGATAGCGCGCAGGGCTTGTAATTCTGTGGCGCGGGTTCGATTCCCGCACCAGGAAGAAACAAATGGGCAAAGTTTCTTTCACCCTGAATGCCCCTGTTACCTAGCAGTAAATAGGTACCTGGGAGTTAGTCAGCTGTATGTGTGTGTGTGTGTGGTGTGAGAGAAAAAAAGTAGTTAGTAAACAGTTGATTGACAGTTGAGAGGCGGGCCGAAAGAGCAAAGCTCAACCCCCGCAAACACAACTAGGTGAATACACACACACACACACACACACACACACACACACACACACACACACACACACACACACACACACACACACACACCATAGAGCCCAGTAGGCTCAGGAATCTGTACATCAGTTGATTGACAGTTGAGAGGCGGGACCAAAGAGCCAAAGCTCAACCCCCGCAAGCACAATTAGGTGAATACACACACACACACACACACACACACACACACACACACACACACACACACACAGAAGAGTAAGGGGAGACATGATAACCACCTACAAAATTCTCAGGGGAATTGACAGGGTGGACAAAGACAAACTCTTCAGCACGGGTGGGACACGAACAAGGGGACACAGGTGGAAACTTAGTACCCAGATGAGCCACAGAGACGTTAGAAAGAATTTTTTCAGTGTCAGAGTAGTTAATAAATGGAATGCACTAGGAAGTGATGTGGTGGAGGCTGACTCCATACACAGTTTCAAATGTAGGTATGATAGAGCCCAGTAGGCTCAGGAATCTGTACACCAGTTGATTGACAGTTGAGAGGCGGGACCAAAGAGCCAAAGCTCAACCCCCGCAAGCACAATTAGGTGAGTACACACAACAAGGTGGGCACATTCTTTGTTAAACTGCGCGGTGGCAACTTTTCAAAGGACTTGAAAGAGAGAGAATATTCATTACGTTCGAAGTTGGAGAGTTCATGTTCTTTGTTGCTAAACCCGCCGAGTGCATCCTTATTTACCAAACTGGTTCGAGTGCATCCGACCAACAGGACGGGTGCAGTTTGCTACCAGAGAGTGCGAGTGCACTCCACGTTACCAATCACTGCACTCAATGTGGCTGCAGGAGCCAAGACCTTGTCAAGAAGAGTAAACACTTCATATATTATCAAGTTGTTTACATTTGTATAATTATTCTTGGGTATAAATATTCACAAATTCTTGATGACAACAACCCAAAAGTGGAGCGTATAGTACACTAAACTTGGAGTCAAGCCACAGCAGTCGACTAACATAGCACTTGTAAGGGTCGAATCGTTCCCAAAATACCCGCCCTGCCCACGAATCGAACTCGGGGTCCTGCTGCTTGCGAGGCGAGTACTTTAACCACTGCGCTATGTACGTGTCCACGAGACATGATAAACTGATTATTGAAGTAGCAAGAATTATTTGAAAACCTGTCATAATTCTCAACCACTTGGGCTGGACGGTAGAGTGACGGTCTCGCTTCATGCAGGTCGGCGTTCAATTCCCGACGGTCCAAGTGGTTGGGCAACTCTGTTCATCCATCAGGAGTTAGACAACTGTTAGGGTTGCATACACTGAATATAAAATATATATGCAGACGAGGAGTCACAATAACGTGGCTGAAATATGTTGACCAGACCACACACTAGAAAGTGAAGGGACGACGACGTTTCGGTCCGTCCTGGACCATTCTCAAGTCGATGGTCATCGACTTGAGAATGGAATCTCATTGAGAATCACCGTCTTTTGCTTTCTTAGGTCCATCATAGCAGCACGAGGCCATTTATTTATTTATTTTTAAAAGCTTTCAATTATTACAATTTTCAATGGGAAGAAAAACATGACTCTCATGAGACAGTGAACGACAGTAAGATGATGGCTTGTTATGGATAAGATGGGGGGGGGAGTGGGGGTAAAATGCTTTCCTGTGGTGGGTGCCATGACTGTGGGCGAGGCTGTGGGTGGAGCCAGGAGGGAGGAGTGGGCGGGGCGTGGGCGTGGCGCTCCTCCTGCTGCTGCTGCGGGAGGAGGAGCTTGGCGCGGCCGGCCACGTGGTCCACCCGGGGTCCCCAGACCGGAGTGTCCAGGTCCTCGCTATCCTCGTTATCTTCATCATTGTTACCGTTATCAATATCGTGGTCGTTATCAGCGTTACTTAATGTTTATCTTTCAATATAATTGTGTTTATTACCGTTGTCATTTTTGTGTATAATTAGCATCTTATTGTCATGAATAATATCACCATATTCATCAAAATTATCATCAACAGTCTGTGTCACTTTAATGTTACACAGATGTTGGCTTCCTTCTCACTATCATCATTTTTCCCTCCCTTCCCTGCCCAACCACTTGGACTGGAGGGTAGAGCGACGGTCTTGCTTCCTGCAGGTCGGCGTTCAATCCCCGACCCTCCAAGTGGTTGGCCACCACCTCCCCCTCCTATGTCAAACGCTTATCCTGACCCCCTTCCAAGTGCTATATAGTCGTAATGGTTTGGCACATTCTCCTGATAGTTCCCTTCCTTTCCCTTCCCTTCCCTCCTTCCCTTCCCTTCCTTTCCTTCCTTCCCTCCCCTCCTTTCCCTCCCCTCCTTTCCCTCCCCTCCTTTCCCTCCCCTTCTTCCTCTCCGTCCTTCCTTCCTTCTCATTCATCCCCCCCTCCCTCCCCTTCGTACCTCCCTCCCTTCCTTCTCCTCCCACCCACCCCTCCTCTCCTTCCCTCCTTTCCCTCCCCTCCCTTCCTCTCCATCACTCCTCCCTCATCACTCCCACCCTTCCTCAGCGTCACCTGTCATGCTTCCACAACCTTTCCTGCGCCTTGATTTCTACAAACGAAAACAACTGTTTCATCTGTACCTGGAGGCTGACTCACAAGCAATAAGGTAATTGACAGCCGAGGAAAGTGAATTGCCATTGATGAATATACACGCTATTCAGACGGTCTAGCACTGCTACTGAGACGGTTCGAGAAGCGCAGCATCTCGATAACCCCTGATAACATGGGTTCACAACTGGGCGCTCTTGCCTGTCACAGTTGCTGGACCACTATGACATGGCATTAGATGCTATGGAAGACAAACAAAACGCTGATGTAATTTACACAAATTTCGCAAAAGTCTTCAACAAATGTGACCATGGTCACATTTAGGGAGCCGGTCGGCCGAGCGGACAGCACACTGGACTTGTGATCCTGTGGTCCTGGGTTCGATCCCAGGCGCCGGCGAGAAACAATGGGCAGAGTTTCTTTCACCCTATGCCCCTGTTACCTAGCAGTAAAATAGGTACCTGGGTGTTAGTCAGCTGTCACGGGCTGCTTCCTGGGGGTGGAGGCCTGGTCGAGGACCGGGCCGCGGGGACACTAAAAAAAAGCCCCGAAATCATCTCAAGATAACCTCAAGATGGTGTTATTGCACACAAAATGTGTTCAAAAGGAATTACCGGAAAAATAGGCAGATGTATCTACAATTTCCTGACTAACAGAACCCAATGTGTAATAGTCAACAAAATAAAATCCGGTCCATCAACCGTGAAGAGCTCAGTCCCCCAGGGTACTGTGCTTGCTCCAGTACTTTTTCTCATCCTCATATCGGACATAGACAAGGGCACAATCTAATAGTACTGTATCATCCTTTGCAGATGATACTAGGATTTTTATGAGAGTAGACAACATAGAGGACACGGCAAACCTCCAATCAGATGTAAATCAGATGTAAATCAGATGTAAAATAATATGGTGTTTAACGAAGATAAGTTCCAGCTCATGCACTACGGAAAATATGAAAATATATAAACGGAAACCACGTACAAAACGCAGTCAAATCATAACATTGAACGGAAAGGCAATGTAAAGGATTTTGGTGTACTCATGTCGGAAGACCTTACCTTTAAAGAACACAATAAAATAGATAGTCTTGAAGACGCTAGTGATTACTAGAGTGGAGTACTACTGCACAATGACAGCCTCTTTCAAAGCTGGAGAAATTGCTGACCTGGAGAGCGTGCAGAGATCCTTTACTGCTAGAATCCTCCCAGCAAAACATCTAAACTATTGGGACCGACTAAAGAGCCTAAATCTGTATTCCCTTGAGCGCAGGCGGGAGAGATACATAATAATTTACACGCGGGAAATATTAGAGGGGCTGGTCCCAAACCTGCACGCAGAAATAATATCACATGAGACCAGAAGACATGGCAGGATGTGCAGAACACCCCCGTTGAAGAGCAGAGGTGCAACAGGTACTCTGAGAGAGAACTCTATCAACTTCAGAGGCCCGAGACTGTTCAACACGCTTCCACTACACATAAGGGGCATAACTGGCCGGCCCCTCACAGTGTTCAAGAGAGAACTGGATAAACACCTCCAAAGGATACCTGATCAACTAGGCTGTGATTCATACGTCAGGCTGCGAGCAGCCGCGTTCAACAGCCTGGTTGACCAGTCCAGTTGATCTGTGATGTCTCGTGCGCAGTGTGAGGACTCTGTCTCTCTGTAGCTGGCCTCGTAATAGACGGTCAACAGGTGTTCGAAATGTAATGTGTGCTCGGCTTTATTGCCTTGTAACCTGTAGAAGGTAGAGCTCATGCAGACTTCACCTGGGTGACGTGACGGGCCACAGTCACGGGCCACGTCACGACCACCAGTCACGGGCCACGTCACGACCACCAGTCACGGGCCACGTCACGACCACCAGTCACGGGCCACGTCACGACCACCAGTCACGGGCCACGTCACGACCACCAGTCACGGGCCACGTCACGACCACCAGTCACGGGCCACGTCACGACCACCAGTCACGGGCCACGTCACGACCACCAGTCACGGGCCACGTCACGACCACCAGTCGCCATATCGGCCGTCTCGCCCCCACAGCGGAACACGGGTCACGTGACGACGGTGATCAACAAGCAATTAGGTGACCATAACGAGTGTGGCCCCCGGGGCCCCTGGCTGGGGGAAGGGCGCAGCGCTCTGAACCTTTATGCTGATGGGCCCAGTAGGGATGGGAAAGGATGATGGGGCGGGGGGATTGGCATGGGAAGTATTTGCTCATGAAGAGGCAATCAGCGCGAAGAGATGGGTCGGGTGAGGGGCGGGGAAGGGGTGGGGGGGGGGTGATGGGCCGGGTGAAGGGAGGGGACGGGAGGGGGGGGGGGGTGAGTGAATAATGGTCCGGGAAAGAAAGGTTCGAGAAGCAGTGTGTCGAAGTGAGAGATGGGCAAAGGGTACAGGGTCAAGAAGTGATGGGCTGAAGGTACAGAGCTCGAAGGTGATGGGGCCCACATAGGATGGGACAAGGCCAACATAGCGAAGATATGAACACATATCAGGCACAGTAAACACAGTAAACAGGCACCAACACTGGCCCCTCAGAAGTGACGGGGGAAGTGACCGTGGAGAGTGCCGCAAGCGACCGGGGGGGGGGGCGGCGCCATGGAGAGTGCCATTTTTAAAAGTGTTGAACTACGAGTGACCTTAAGCCCCAGTTACCCGGCCACTTAAGCTTTCATTATGCACTAACGTCCGGCCATAATTACACCCCGACTCGATCTGAACTAAAACTTGGCAAGAAGCTCCTTCAGAGGCCCTTTGTGCTACTTGGAAAAGTTTATTTACCAATGATGCTGGGCGCGGCCGACGCTGCCGACGCTGCCTTGGGCGGTGATTCACGCCTCGGGTATAGCACTCTGGGGGCGAGATGACGCGGGAAATGAACGAGACTGTAGAGATGCTCATTTGATATTGAACTTGTTGCGTTATATTGAGACGTTGATTTGGTTGTTATGGTCGTTGCTTTACTGAAGAAATGTGGAATGGCGGATGTCTGTGGTGGTTGTGGAGGAGCTGTCGTGGTACAAGTTTTAGTACTACTGTTGATGTGGAGGGGGGGGGGGTTCGATGTGCAGTCAGCATTGATGGGGGAGGGGGAGGGTGGTATTGATGTGGTGGAGGGTGGTATTGATGTGGTGGAGGGTGGTATTGATGTGGTGGAGGGTGGTATTGATGTGGTGGAGGGTGGTATTGATGTGGTGGAGGGTGGTATTGATGTGAGGGGGGAGATTGGCATTGAAATTACATGTGGGCAAGTTATATATTTTTAGTGTTCATGTAGGGAGCCGATCGGCCGAGCGGACAGCACACTGGACTTGTGATCCTGTGGTCCTGGGTTCGATCCCGGGCGCCGGCGAGAAACAATGGGCAGAGTTTCTTTCACCCTATGCCCCTGTTACCTAGCAGTAAAATAGGTACCTGGGTGCTAGTCAGCTGTCACGGGCTGCTTCCTGGGGGTGGAGGCTTGGTCGAGGACCGGGCCGCGGGGACACTAAAGCCCCGAAATCATCTCAAGATAACCTCAAGATGTATACCTGGTTGGTGGTGATGTGGAGACACTGAGGCTGAGAATGGGTCTCGAGGGATTTAGTATTGATAAGCCCGATGGTTAGTATTGATTAAGACAGTGTTGACGTGACGGCGTCTGGCGTGGCTGTTGCTGTTGTTGTTGTAGTGGGGACGGGTGGTGGTGGAGGCTCCAGACACGTGTGGTGGAGGCTCCAGACACGTGTGGTGGAGGCTCCACCACACGTGTGGTGGAGGCTCCAGACACGTGTGGTTGAGGCTCCAGACACGTGTGGTGGAGGCTCCAGACACGTGTGGTGGAGGCTCCAGACACGTGTGGTGGAGGCTCCAGACACGTGTGGTGGAGGGTGGGGATACGAGGGTGCCACGTGACCACCAGGTGCTGGAGGGGAGGGGGCGGGGGGGGGACATAGTTCCCTCATCAGTTTAAAAAGGTAAAGGTGAGGGACATTAAGTTTATCCCCGGGCGCTGTCAGGGGGTACACACACGCGCACACACACACACACACACACACACACACACACACACACACACACACACACACACACACACACACACACACACGCGCGCGCGTGCGTTCTAAGAGTCATGAATTAACAAACCTATGCCATCGCTTAGATAAATTAGAGCGAGCTGCTCCTGTGAGGTTTCCCACGCTGCTCTAGACTGAGGTAAGGGGGTTCTTGTTGTTTTAGATGTAGCCACTCACACCGACATGTCCATGTAGCACGGGCTATGGTGAGCCCATAAGAGGGAGGTTAGGGGAAATAATATTGGCTTAATATGAAGAGTAATGCCCTACACGCTTCATGATTGTCATGGGAACAGCGCTGAAGGCAGCGCTTCCCAGTTTCTTTGTCAGGGACAGAGAGCCTGTTAGGCTCATAGAGGTGGCACTTGGCCTTCCGCGGGATGCGATCCACAACAGTTGTCTAACTCCCTGATATCTATTTTCTGCAAAGGGCAGAAAATTTTCTGCCCTTTGCAGAAAGGGCAGAAATATATTTCATATTTTCACTTCATTTTTTTTTAGCTTTTTCTTATATTTCAGTGATGGGAACATCAGATCACTTGATTTTCCAAATTTTCTGATGAGAACATCAGACCATTTAGCAAGGCATTGGACGAGGGAGTGGGGGGAAATGGTGGGGAATTTTCTTTCAATAGATTTTCTGTTGACCAGACCACACACTAGAAATTGAAGGGACGACGACGTTTCATCGACTTGAGACTTGAGAATGGTCCAGGACGGACCGAAACGTCGTCGTCCCTTCAATTTCTAGTGTGTGGTCTGGTCAACATACTTCAGCCACGTTATTGTGACTCATCGCCTGCAGATTTTCTGTTGTAGGGAGCTGGTGCAAGGAAAGGTGGCTAGATGTTTCCGAGTGGATCCAATACTTTGGATTTTGTGGCTGTTGTTTAACTCTAATGACAACCTCCTCAGAGGCAGACTGTCGGCACTTTTTTCTCGTCTGAGATGGAGGAGGAGGAGAGCGGTCCTCCTCCTCGCCCTCGTGCTTCCGTCCTGGCATATATCCTGGGATCTGTAGTGGGTCGTCCAGCACCGCTCCTGTGCCAGGTGAGTCCACTACGGGCTCACCATAGCCCGTGCTACTTGCCCCGCTCCTGTGCCACGTAAGTTATGGGCTTACCATAGCCCGTGCTACTTGCCCCGCTCCTGTGCCACGTAAGTTATGGGCTTACCATAGCCCGTGCTACTTGCCCCGCTCCTGTGCCAGGTAAGTTACGGGCTCACCATAGCCAGTGCTACTTGCCCCGCTCCTGTGCCAGGTAAGTTACGGGCTCACCATAGCCCGTGCTACTTGCCCCGCTCCTGTGCCAGGTAAGTTACGGGCTCACCATAGCCAGTGCTACTTGCCCCGCTCCTGTGCCAGGTAAGTTACGGGCTCACCATAGCCAGTGCTACTTGCCCCGCTCCTGTGCCAGGTAAGTTACGGGCTCACCATAGCCAGTGCTACTTGCCCCGCTCCTGTGCCAGGTAAGTTACGGGCTCACCATAGCCCGTGCTACTTGCCCCGCTCCTGTGCCAGGTAAGTTACGGGCTCACCATAGCCAGTGCTACTTGCCCCGCTCCTGTGCCAGGTAAGTTACGGGCTTACCATAGCCCGTGCTACTTGCCCCGCTCCTGTGCCAGGTAAGTTATGGGCTTACCATAGCCCGTGCTACTTGCCCCGCTCCTGTGCCAGGTAAGTTACGGGCTTACCATAGCCCGTGCTACTTGCCCCGCTCCTGTGCCAGGTAAGTTACGGGCTCACCATAGCCCGTGCTACTTGCCCCGCTCCTGTGCCAGGTAAGTTATGGGCTTACCATAGCCCGTGCTACTTGCCCCGCTCCTGTGCCAGGTAAGTTACGGGATCACCATAGCCCGTGCTACTTGGAACTTGTTCCGAGTAGCTGAATCTATAACAACAGTTGGTCGTCGCCACTAATTTTGATGATCAAGTTATTCAACTATGAGACTTTAAGAGAGTACTTATGTTGGCGTGTATGTTGGTAAATGCACCATGTTGGCGTGTATGTTGGTAAATGCACCATGTTGGCGTGTATGTTGGTAAATGCACCATGTTGGCGTGTATGTTGGTAAATGCACCATGTTGGCGTGTATGTTGGTAAATGCACCATGTTGGCGTGTATGTTGGTAAATGCACCATGTTGGCGTGTATGTTGGTAAATGCACCATGTTGGCGTGTATGTTGGTAAATGCACCATGTTGGCGTGTATGTTGGTAAATGCACCATGTTGGCGTGTATGTTGGTAAATGCACCATGTTGGCGTGTATGTTGGTAAATGCACCATGTTGGCGTGTATGTTGGTAAATGCACCATGTTGGCGTGTATGTTGGTAAATGCACCATGTTGGCGTGTATGTTGGTAAATGCACCATGTTGGCGTGTATGTTGGTAAATGCACCATGTTGGCGTGTATGTTGGTAAATGCACCATGTTGGCGTGTATGTTGGTAAATGCACCATGTTGGCGTGTATGTTGGTACGTATGCTAGTTATACGTATCATTTATTAAAGAAATTACGAGCTTCGAAAATTCCATCCCAAGCTTATTATAATAATAAACATCGCAGCGCTTCGGAACTTATAAACGGTGTCATGAATATAAGGTTTGCCGCCATGATTGTAAGGTTTGCCGCCATGATTGTAAGGTTTGCCGCCATGATTGTAAGGTTTGCCGCCATGATTGTAAGGTTTGCCGCCATGATTGTAAGGTTTGCCGCCATGATTGAGGAAAGTTAGTTTAGTTTAGTTCATTTATTATGCACCCCATACCCATCTTGTGGGCGGTAGTGGAAAGGGTTACAGAGGCACATAATGGGCTCAGGGACTGAACCCCACAATTCATTTAAGTAAACAAGTTACAGTCTTGATGAGCTAGTTACAAAATTCATTGCACATCCTCACATCATCAATGGGATCGAGATCGGCCACAAGTATAGTTTCTAAATTAAGCAACTGACATATGTGGAGAGCTAGTGTCACAATTGATATGTTTGTCCTGCACACCGCCCCCCATCCAGTGGGCAGTGGTGGATAGGTTACAATCACTTAGTTACTACCTACAGTTAGCAAACTGGGGATATTTGGCTAAAATTTCTGATAGATCATTTTGAAAGAAACATATACACATCTCTGCAACATTTGTTATAGAATTGTCTCTGAATTCACGTATCTTTTCGCACTCCATCACATAGTGACGGAGGGTGTGCGAATAATTTTGTTGACACAGTTTACATTTGGTCAGGTCTACATCAACAGATAATGAGAATTCCCAGAGATACTTGTAACCGAGTCTAAGCCGAGCAGTAGTAACATCTAGAAGTCTGCTGATTTTATTGGATGAACCATAGATGTGTGGCTCCTCTTGCATGATAATATGATGATAGATGGAATTACTGGTGTCGATTTCACTTTGCCTCAGATCTACAAGAATTTGTTGAAGTTCTCGGTGTACTATTGCTCTCAGACTGTTTATTGACCATCCAAAGTTATACTCAACGTTTGTTTTAAAGGCAGATTCTTTGGCTAACTCATTAGCTCTTATCATGCATTCGGAGGCCAACATGAGATGGAGACCACATGAAATGGACCCTCTTTTTTTAATTGTATTTGTTTAGCCTCAGTCACGAGCAAGTTACAGTTATGTCTTAAAGAGTTGAGAGCAATTAAGGATGATAAATAATCACTTACAATTAATGTATCAAGTCTACACATTTCAGTGCTAAAGCAAGGCAACTAGTTCGGTCTGAAGGGTAGAGGCCCAGTTGTTTATACGGACTCCCCACTCAAAATATAAGCCATCGCCCATTGTCAGGACAACTGCACTTCCAGCTGCACCCGTGGTGCGGTGTAGGGAACCATCAGTGTATATGATTTGAGAGAGAGAATGCTCTGTGGACAGAGCATCAATATGGCTTAAGGCGCTAAGCTTTGCCTCAAGACGAAGTTTGGGCTGATCTCTAATTTGCTCCTTGTGTGGAAAGGGAGGGATTAAAACGGAATAGGGTGTAATCTCCCACGGTGCAGGAAGATGCCGTTATTGTCTCTCTCTTGGTACAAATTATAAATCAGATACATTCTGTGTTCAGTTCCAGTTTTAGTTATCAATTTGGGACAATGTTGACCTTTAAGAAAGAAATTCTGTAGAGCTTCTGTGCAAGGGTTAGGATGAGTTAGCCTAAACATTTTCATACCAATTTGACAGTTAATTTCAGTAACTCGATCAACGACGCTCGGAATATTAAATTCCTTTCTCATGTTAAGTATCTTTGTGGTACGAGGGCATTATCTTCAAGGCTTCGTTCTGCAATTTTTCAAGCCCTCCAAACTTTCTTTCAGGCACGAAAACAAGCAAAGATGCAGAATAATCCACTATAAAGATCTGATGTATGCAAGGTGGAACTTTTTGAGAATTCTGACATTGGCACCATAGCCTGAGTGATAACCTGCAACAGCCTTGAGAGCTCGGAGCCTCTCCTTATACTGACGACAGAGTCTGAATACAACAGGACCATACAGTGCCACCTCAAGGCCAAGGTATTTGAATCTGTTTACATAGTCAAGCTGGGAGCCATCAGACAGTTGCATCTTGCGAACAGCTCCTCCCTGCCTGGGTGGGCGCCGATTGTGTATCTTTGTTTTCTCTGCTGAGATGACTAACCCTAGGTCCTGACATGAGTCTAATGCAGAGTTAAGAGTGTTCTGCGTGTTAGCATACCCAGTGGTGTGTATCATTATATCATCAGCATACCCAGTGGTGTGTATCATTATATCATCAGCATACCCAGTGGTGTGTATCATTATATCATCAGCATACCCAGTGGTGTGTATCATTATATCATCAGCATACCCAGTGGTGTGTATCAGTATATCATCAGCATACCCAGTGGTGTGTATCAGTATACCCAGTGGTATCAGCATACCCAGTGGTGTGTATCATTATATCATCAGCATACCCAGTGGTGTGTATCATTATATCATCAGCATACCCAGTGGTGTGTATCATTATATCATCAGCATACCCAGTGGTGTGTATCAGTATACCCAGTGGTATCAGCATACCCAGTGGTGTGTATCATCAGCATACCCAGTGGTGTGTATCATCAGCATACCCAGTGGTGTGTATCATCAGCATACCCAGTGGTGTGTATCATCAGCATACCCAGTGGTGTGTATCAGCATACCCAGTGGTGTGTATCATCAGCATACCCAGTGGTGTGTATCATCAGCATACCCAGTGGTGTGTATCATTATATCATCAGCATAGCTAATGATGTGCACGTTGGGTTTTCTCGGTACAGAGTTTAACAGCGTGTTTATTAATTAAGATATTAAATAAGGTAGGACTGAGGACACCTCCCTGCGGGGTGCCTAGTCGAAGTCTCTTGTTCCACTATACTATGTCACTGGACAAATACAGATGACTTCCTGTTGGATAAGTAAAGATGAACAGGTTTCGTCAGTGGTTTACTTGAGGTCCGTTCCTCTGGTGGTGGTCTCGTACCTCTTACATACGGGGTCCACTTCGCTTTGTAATTGCAGAGACTCTTTGTTACACGTTAGTCCTATCCCTGTGTGTGTGTGTGTGTGTGTGTGTACTGACCTAATTGTACTCACCTAATTGTGCTTGCGGGGGTTGAGCTCTGGCTCTTTGGTCCCGCCTCTCAACCGTCAATCAACTGGTGTACAGATCCCTGAGCCTACTGGGCTCTATCATATCTACATTTGAAACTGTGTATGGAGTCAGCCTCCACCACATCACTGCCTAGTGTGTGTGTGTAGGCCGGTGCTCAGTTTGTGTGCGTACGGTAAAGACATTGTTGTGTACACCTAGTGTGTCTTGATACGTGTACGCTTTTTATTTACACATGGCTGAGTGTCTATACACATGAACCCATTGCCTGTGTCCTCATTAACGTGTATATATGCGCATACCTGTGAACGTACGCATATGTATACGTGCCTGTACGCAAATACGCCTATCCCTGAAGCTACGCAGCTATGCATACACATCTACTCACGCGCACAGCAGCACATTCCAATCCGTACATGCACGCAGAGGCGTACACATTAGGAATTAGATTACAAGCCATTTGGTGAGCGATTATGAAAGGCAAAAGCCTCCAGTCCAGTATTTTCCTGTGAATCAAAAAGTTTTGCGAAAACCTCGACACACACCAGGCCACCAGGGACGGGTCCCCGCCAGGAAAATAATATCTATTACGCAAGTCGATAGAACCGTAAATCCCACGACAGCTTTTGGTTTCGGACCCCTGAGGGATTAGGGATTGACAGCGAGGGAAGGCGGGGATTACGGGGATTACGAAGGGATTATTTCACCAAAAATTGGGGAGAGTTGCCCGCCGCATATGGTGGCTCCTCTCTCACCCAGGGCGCACTAGAGGCCCTCCCCTCGTTCCCACTCCTTATCCCTCTCCCCATCTCCCCCCCCCCTCTCTCTCCTATCCCTTCCCCCCCATCTACCCCCCCCTCCCTTCTTTCCTATCCTTCCAATTCACCCTAACCTCTCCTCCGTCTACCCTCCTCTCTCTGCTATACATGCTATATCCAATATTTCATTCTATAGTGGCAATGCCTCCCTCTCCTACTAATTCCTCGCTCTCCTCTCCTTGCTCTCCGTGCTTTCCTCTCCTCTTCCGCTATCTCCTCCCTCTCCCTCAATTGCCTCCCTGCCTCCCCTCACCGGTGTCGAGTTGTAAGGTCATAATATATTGATTACAATTGATGAGTGTCGCGTCACTGCTCGGGGCAGCCACCCACGTGATCACCAACTACACCACACAAGCTGTCCGGCCTCCGGGCGGGCATGGCGTCTGTCCGGCCTCTGGGCGGGCACGGCGTCTGTCCGGCCTCCGGGCGGGCATGGCGTCTGTCCGGCCTCCGGGCGGGCATGGCGTCTGTCCGGCCTCCGGGCGGGCATGGCGTCTGTCCGGCCTCCGGGTGGGCATGGCGTCTGTCCGGCCTCCGGGCGGGCATGGCATCTGTCCGGCCTCCGGGTGGGCATGGCGTCTGTCCGGCCTCCGGGCGGGCATGGCGTCTGTCCGGCCTCCGGGCGGGCATGGCGTCTGTCCGGCCTCCGGGCGGGCATGGCGTCTGTCCGGCCTCCGGGCGGGCATGGCGTCTGTCCGGCCTCCGGGCGGGCATGGCGTCTGTCCGGCCTCCGGGCGGGCATGGCGTCTGTCCGGCCTCCGGGCGGGCATGGCGTCTGTCCGGCCTCCGGGTGGGCATGGCGTCTGTCCGGCCTCCGGGCGGGCATGGCATCTGTCCGGCCTCCGGGTGGGCATGGCGTCTGTCCGGCCTCCGGGCGGGCATGGCGTCTGTCCGGCCTCTGGGCGGGCATGGCGTCTGTCCGGCCTCTGGGCGGGCATGGTCTCAACCTCCAGTCTGCAGGAAGGCATCCGGTTCTTCTTATTTCTCGTCTCTCATTCTTTGAGTAAGACAGAGAAGGGAGGGGAAGGGAGGGGTGGCAGTTGATCGGGCAAGTGACTGGTCTGCAGCCATGAACTGGACGCGTCAGGAGGCAGAAGCCAGTTGTGGAATCCAGCCAATAAGGCAGCTCTAGGAGTGGTGGTTGCCATGCACTGTCGACGAATTCAATTGGCGTTCCACTTTTCCGTTTTGACATCTTTTCTCAAATATTTATGTTTAGGTAAAATACCTTTGAAAAAATACGACGCAGACGTTTCGTGTGCTGACGTATCTAAATGACTAAATATGTTTATCAAAATCCCTAAGTAGCAATCCCCGTGGCGCCGTGGTAAAGCATTCGCCTGGCGCTTCGATAGCGGTTTGGTCTGGGTTTGTATTCTGGCCGGGGAGGATGAACTGGGCAACCCGTCCTCGACTCAAGTCCATTACATCCAGCGGTCGACCCCACAGACGCATTCATAAATTTTAACATGCTGTTCATTCAAAACGGGAATTTTCTCAAGTATAAATTAATATTATAATATATTAGCATATTGTGCATATATAGGCATACGATAGGTTAGGTTAGGTGTTTAGCTTCTGTTGCCGATTATTTGTATTTGTAGTACGTATGTATGTGCACAAACCCATTGTTTCGTGTTCTGTCTTGTGTTTAGAAATTTAATACCCTATTAATACCACCTCACCCCATCCACCTCACTCAAATGTAGATATAAACAAATCGGAGATGTGTAAGATCTATTCAGTTGTGTATGTTTAAACTAAAGTCTTTGAAAATGTAATAAGTTTTACGAAACGCGCTCAAGTGTCGCTTCAGACTAGAAATAAAAATGAATTTTGGAGAATTGATTTTTGAATTACCACCAACAGTGAAAAGAAATGTACGAAAAATTGAGAAAATTCGTGTTAGAATTATTAATCTTACTTTTTCGGTCATATTTAATAATATATATATATATATATATATATATATATATATATATATACATATATATACATATATACATATATATACATATATACATATATATACATATATACATATATATATATATATATATATATATATATATATATATATATATATATATATATATATATATATATATACATATATATATATATATATATATATATATATATATATATATATATATATATATATATATATATATATATATACATATATATATACATACATATATATATACATATACATATATATATATACATATACATATATATATATACATATACATATATATATACATATAAACATATATACATATATATATACATATATATATATATATATATATATATATATATATATGTCGTACCTAGTAGCCAGAACTCACTTTTTGGCCTACTATGCATGGCCCGATTTGCCTAATAAGCCAAATTTTCCTGAATAAATATATTTTTTCTAATTTTTTTCTTATGAAATGATAAAGCTACCCATTTCATTATGTATGAGGTCAATTTTTTTATTGGAGTTAAAATTAACGTAGATATATGGCCGAACCTAACCAACCCTACCTAACCTAACCTAACCTATCTCTATAGGTTAGGTTAGGTTAGGTAGCTGAAAAAGTTAGGTTAGGTTAGGTAGGTTAGGTAGTCGAAAAAACATTACTTCATGAAAACTTGGCTTATTAGGCAAATCGGGCCTTGCATAGTAGGCTGAGAAGTGCGTTCTGGCTACTAGGTACGACATATACATATATATATATATATATATATATATATATATATATATATATATATATATATATATATATATATATATATATATATATATATACATATATATACATGTCGTACCTAATAGCCAGAACGCACTTCTCAGCCTACTATTCAAGGCCCGATTTGCCTAATAAGCCAAGTTTTCATGAAATAATGTTTTTTCGTCTACCTAACCTACCTAACCTAACCTAACCTAGCTTTTTTTGGCTACCTAACCTAACCTTACATATAAATATAGGTTAGGTTAGGTTAGGTAGGGTTGGTTAGGTTCGGTCATATATCTACGTTAATTTTAACTCCAATAAAAAAAAATTGACCTCATACATAGAGAAAAGGGTTGCTTTATCATTTCATAAGAAAAAAATTATAGTAAATATATTAATTCAGGAAAACTTGGCTTATTAGGCAAATCGGGCCTTGAATAGTAGGCTGAGAAGTGAGTTCTGGCTACTAGGTACGACATACATATATACATATATATACATATATATACATATATACATATATATACATATATATATATACATATATATATATACATATATATATATATATATATATATGTCGTACCTAGTAGCCAGAACGCACTTATCAGCCTACTATGCAAGGCCAAATTTGCCTAATAAGCCAAGTTTTCCTGAATTTATATATTTTCTCTATTTTTTTTCCTGTGAAAAGATAAAGCTACCCATTTCATTATGTATGAGGTCAATTTTTGTTTATTGGAGTTAAAATTAACGAAGATATATGACCGAACCTAACCAACCCTACCTAACCTAACCTAACTTATCTTTATAGGTTAGGTTAGGTTAGGTGGCCGAAAAAGTTAGGTTAGGTTAGGTTAGGTAGGTTAGGTAGTCGAAAAACAATTAATTCACGAAAACTTGGCTTATTAGGCAAATCGGGCCTTGAATAGTAGGCTGAGAAGTGCGTTCTGGCTACTAGGTACGACATATATATATATATATATATATATATATATATATATATATATATATATATATATATATATATATATATATGTCGTACCTAGTAGCCAGAACTCACTTCTCAGCCTACTATTCAAGGCCCGATTTGCCTAATAAGCCAAGTTTTCCTGAATTAATATATTTACTATAATTTTTTTCTTATGAAATGATAAAGCAACCCTTTTCTCTATGTATGAGGTCAATTTTTTTTATTGGAGTTAAAATTAACGTAGATATATGACCGAACCTAACCAACCCTACCTAACCTAACCTAACCTATATTTATAGGTAAGGTTAGGTTAGGTAGCCAAAAAAAGCTAGGTTAGGTTAGGTTAGGTAGGTTAGGTAGACGAAAAAACATTAATTCATGAAAACTTGGCTTATTAGGCAAATCGGGCCTTGAATAGTAGGCTGAGAAGTGCGTTCTGGCTATTAGGTACGACATATATATATATATATATATATATATATATATATATATATATATATATATTGGTGTATACTGGCAGCAGGTTTTCTTTCAAACATGTTTCATTGAATATGACCGCATATTCTGTATTTATTATTTTCTGGTTTAGGGCTTCTATCCCTGTAACTATTTTCTTAGCATCAGGGCTTAATTGAAATAGGAGTTCTCCAAAACTCATTTTCGTACTTTTAAGGTGAAGAAAAGAAGTGATTTACTATAGAGTGTATTACACTTATTTGTATATATATATATATATATATATATATATATATATATATATATATATATATATATATATATATATATATATATATATATATATATATATATATGTCGTACCTAATAGCCAGAACGCACTTCTCAGTCTACTATTCAAGGCCCGATTTGCCTAATAAGCCAAGTTTTCATGAATTAATGTTTTTTCGTCTACCTAACCTACCTAACCTAACCTAACCTAGCTTTTCTTGGCTACCTAACCTAACCTTACCTATAAATATAGGTTAGGTTAGGTAGGGTTGGTTAGGTTCGGTCATATATCTACGTTAATTTTAACTCCAATAAAAAAAAATTGACCTCATACATAGAGAAAAGGGTTGCTTTATCATTTCATAAGAAAAAATTATAGTAAATATATTAATTCAGGAAAACTTGGCTTATTAGGCAAATCGGGCCTTGAATAGTAGGCTGAGAAGTGAGTTCTGGCTACTAGGTACGACATATATATATATATATATATATATATATGTATATATATATATATATATATATATATATATATACATATATATATATATGCAACAATGATCACAAAAACACTGATTCAAGTATGCAGAATAACCACATGTGAAACATAGAAAATGCTTAACGCGTTTTCGGCTAATTCGCCTTCATCAGAGCAAAGTAGAATGAAGATAAGAAAACATTGCTGATCAGACCTTTATATCCGCCTGGTAAGTATCACCTGACCACCAAAAATAAGTGGAGGAAAGGAATTATAAGAAAGAAGGTAACTGCAGAAGGCCTATTGGCCCATACGAGGCAGCTCCTATTAATATCTCCAAGTGCCATACGTGTTAAATGATTGCAATATTGTTTTGACGTGCTATATTGAGGCTTAAATAGGGATCCAACTTGTACATACTGGAGCTCACATTAAGGCTGTTGTTACAATGTTTGATCAGAGCAGACTCGATCACGTTTCGTTCAACAAAATCCTTACTTTTAACAATACATTTTGCATTTTGCAGACTACTAAGTTGTGATTTCCATAGATCAACAAAGTAATGTAGCCTTTTAATAGAAAAATTATAGTTCATTGAAAAAAGTTCAAAGTTCAGAACTTCTAAGTAGAGCTCAAAGAAAAATTCCATTCATTGTTCTTATCTCCGCACCGTACTTGTGTGGTGCAAGTATAAGATGTGGGGCGGGAGCGACCGCCCACCTGCCCAGAGGGCGGGAGCGGCCGCCCACCTGCCCAGAGGGCGGGAGCGGCCGCCCACCTGCCCAGAGGGCGGGAGCGGCCGCCCACCTGCCCGGAGGGCGGGAGCGGCCGCCCACCTGCCCAGAGGGCGGGCGCGGCCGCCCACCTGCCCAGAGGGCGGGAGCGGCCGCCCACCTGCCCGGAGGGCGGGAGCGGCCGCCCACCTGCCCGGAGGGCGGGAGCGGCCGCCCACCTGCCCGGAGGGCGGGAGCGGCCGCCCACCTGCCCAGAGGGCGGAAGCGGCCGCCCACCTGCCCAGAGGGCGGAAGCGGCCGCCCACCTGCCCAGAGGGCGGGAGCGGCCGCCCACCTGCCCAGAGGGCGGGAGCGGCCGCCCACCTGCCCAGAGGGCGGGAGCGGCCGCCCACCTGCCCAGAGGGCGGGAGCGGCCGCCCACCTGCCCAGAGGGCGGAAGCGGCCGCCCACCTGCCCAGAGGGCGGGAGCGGCCGCCCACCTGCCCAGAGGGCGGGAGCGGCCGCCCACCTGCCCAGAGGGCGGGAGCGGCCGCCCACCTGCCCGGAGGGCGGGAGCGGCCGCCCACCTGCCCGGAGGGCGGGAGCGGCCGCCCACCTGCCCGGAGGGCGGGAGTGGCCGCCCACCTGCCCAGAGGGCGGGAGTGGCCGCCCACCTGCCCAGAGGGCGGAGCCGGCCAGCACAGTAGCAGGTGCGCTTACATCCAATTTTCTGCCGATCTAGCTCGGCTCTGGGTCCGGTCTAATAGAGCGCTAAACCTCACCCTTGATATTCGGATTATATTCCTGCGTTATTCCGCTCTAAAATGAACCCTAAAGCAGAGAGCAGCGGTGAGGCGTACTTCCACTGCCAAGAACTCTCTATTGACCATCCTTAAAGATTTACCGTTAATGAAGTAGAATAATGACGGAGACGGGCGGCTATGAGAAGGATGTGTGTTGACGACCTGTAACTGATACCCGGTGATTACTGGTGAACCTTCCCAGTGCTTAGACCCCCACTAAACACCCCCATAACTCACGCCAGAGTAACAAGGAAAGGCTGCGATGAGGCCGAGCCTTGAGACGTACTTCCTACTCGGCCAAGACCAGCGTTTATTGGGCCGAGTTGAATAGGCAGTTTCCCGCTCAAGAGCGCTGTGGGCCCCGGCGGCCTGAGGGAGCTGTAAGCCGGGTCCACCACAATCAAAGTCCACACATGCAAAATGGCTCGTCTGATCCTATATCTTTAAGAGAGGGAGTACTCTTGAGTACTGCCAGGCCTGAGTGACGCGTATGTGCGTGTCTGTACTCTCCTGTTTGCGTCAAGGATCGAGCTTTAGTTCCCTGACCCCCACCCTTCAGCCGCATGACCCATTTTTATATTACAGTATATCTTTTGTTTTTGTTTTAAATTATGAAATTCGCTTATGCAATTTGTTCGTGAATACCATTCTATTGTTACTGTCCTTAAGCTTAACAAATACTTTCTAACACGTCTCTGGCTCATCTGTTTCAAGCTGCCATCCACACCTTCTTGTTTTATAAGTATTCCTTGAAAATAATATTTATTTTCCGCTCTGTCTAATCGCTTAAGCATTTTATGTATCTTTGCCATCCTCTCCCTCTCTCTTCCTTCCCCCCTCTCTCTCTTCCCCCTCTCTCTCTCTCTCTCTCTCTCTCTCTCTCTCTCTCTCTCTCTCTCTCTCTCTCTCTCTCTCTCTCTCTCTCTCTCTCTCTCTCTCTCTCTCTCTCTTTTCTAGGGAGGTCAGGTCTAGTTCTTTCTCTCTCTCTCTTCATGCCACATTTCTCGTAAATTTGGGACAGACCTCGCTGTTAAGGAAACTTGAAAAGTTAGAGATTACGTGTTTTTGTGACGGGGGCTGCATACTCTATGGCTGCTCTCACGTACGTGGTTTTCAGTGCTTTGAATGCCTCCTTATTGAGGTTCGTGAATGTTGTGACGTTTGCCACTGTGAAGGAGGAGTGTTACCATTATCCTATTGTTCTATTCATTCCCAGATCTTTTTCCCTAGTCGTTACCACCTGTGGGTACAAGGAACAATATATGACACCTGTGGGTACAAGGAACAATATATGACACCTGTGGGTATAAGGAACAATATATGACACCTGTGGGTACAAGGAACAATATATGACACCTGTGGGTACAAGGAGCAATTTATATACGACACCTGTGGGTACAAGGAACAATTTATATATGGCACCAGTGGGTACAAGGTGCCAGTTATGGAAGTCACCGGTGGGCAACATGTGGTTGTCACCGGAGGCGTGGCTCACATTCCCAGTACGCGCACAAACAAATTTGTAAAAGAAACTCACACACACATCTGAAAATTAATTGTTCTTTACGAAGACTCTGGCAATCCACAGTGTCCATAGCGGCCAGCCTTGTCGACTCTGTGTTCCTCACTCGTCAATATCATCTCTTGTCGAGCGAAGTAATAATAATAATAATGAGCTTGAGTTCACTAGTGCCTACAGTGTACCATAATGATGCATTAATGTTCCGGTCATGCTTCTCTAATTCTCAATAAAATAATTCCACGCACACGCACACAGAGGAAGCTGGTCGTGTGGGCCGGCTGGGGGGAGGAACCATAAGCAGGCATCCCACCCTCCCCAGGAACAAAGCGCTACCATCGTTACATTGAGACGTCGTTCACTATGCTGATGGTCTCGCTGACAAGCCAACCACCTTCGTAAATTCACAAAGAAGCAGGAAACTCCCACAATATTGAATATAGATAGATGGAGATTACTTGATCGCTAGGGACTGTGAGGGCTGCCGAGTGGATCCTAGTCTGACCCAGGGATGGAATGGCTCCACCTCCGTCCATAGGCTGTGTTGTGATGGCTGCAGGAGCACTTATCGCAGGACTTACCACAACACTTGCTACAACACTTGCCACAGCACTTGCCACTGTCACCACATTCAAAATACAACATTGTCAAGGAGAAATACTCCTCGAATAGAGGAAGATATTCTGGGATAGACTTTAAACACACACCGGGATATATCAGCTTAAATTTGCAGCGCCAGTTTCAATCCCGTGACGAGAGCTGCGTCTAAAGGTACACCATCAGAATATTAACAGATAACAGAGGAGTCGTAATGGTAGACTAGACTCATGTAACCAAAATGTCCTCAGTGAGAGCAGTAAAGAAGTGAAATGGATTTCAGAGTGAAGTGGATATGACAGCCCAAAATTTCAGGAACTTTTAAACCAGTCAATTCATTTTTGAGAGGTGGGTCACAAGAGCTAATTCTCTGCCCCCGACTGTATACGTAGGTAAGCTCGTGCACACACACACACACACAAGATTCAAGGCGGGATCCAAGAGTTAATGCTCGATCCTGCAGACACAAATAGGTGAGTACACACACACTAGGGTCCGGAGATGACCAAAAACAATGATTTTTTTAAGTCTAAATTTTTTGACCAAAAAAATGAAACTGACTAAAAGCTCATATGACATAATCCATGAGCACTAATTGACGATGAAGACTGACCCACCAAAGAGGTGTCACAAGGAGCCCGAAGGTGGTAGATGTTTTGATTAAATGTGATCTTTGGTCGTGTGCCCATGAGCAGAACCTCTCTCCCACAGGCTCCACTACACCACAACAATATCAACCATTATAAGTCGCCCAAACCGACTAACTACCATCAGCCCCCCCCCCCCTCCCCCCTCCGCAACCAGACAAAGGATCCATCACCACGTCCTTCCCCCCTCTCCCCCCTTTTCCACCCAAATAAGGCGCAAAGGGAACTTTATAATGTTAAAAATCTACCCGAGACACTGTAGGGAGAATATCTGAATGTTGACTGCAATAAGTGGCGGATGTCACGCTAATAGACGCGTGTTTGAACTGTGATCTTGTTTGGGTAACATCGCTGCCGGTGAAAAATAATGGCATGGTTACTAGGGGACCAAACCATCCAATATTTACAGGAGCTCAAATTAATATCGGAAGATCTAAATTGGTTCCGAAATAACAGCTCCTGCCTTACGAACCTATTAAAATTCCTCCACTCTCACAATCACTGGGACCCCCAAAATCCCCCTACATATATAATATACCTGGATTTCCAGAAAGCCTTTGACAAGCTGCCACACAAAAGCCTGGAAGGTAAACTCGGGGTCCGTGGAGCTGGAGCCGGCTTACAACCCTGGATCAAAGACTGGATTACAGCAAAGCATCAACGGGTGGATTAAGGCAACGAGTCGACTGTCTCGGTGCTCGGACCTATTCTTTAAATCATCAATATAAATGACTTAGAAAATTAAAAGGTAAAAAAGATCAAAATGAGGTGACACAAACTGGGGATAATTATTACGTGTAAGACATGGTCAAAGTCTCCAGAGGGACCGTAAGAGACTGTAGTACAGTCTGGCCAGAGACGCGGAAGAATGTCTCTTGCATTTATCTGTCATAAAACTCATGATATATGTGAAAACAAATGTTGCGAAAAGCACTAAGTTGAACCAAGAAAAAGATCTTGATCTGGGCATCACAGGCGATCTTAATTACATAAAGCTGAGCTTAGTAGCTGTCACCCACTGATCGATAATGCTCCCATCTATCCTTGTGTGTCGCCTGGCTTCCTTACTTCACTTTACCCTAAGAATAGACGTAATCTGAAGAAAGGAAAAACGCTTTTAACAGCTACCGGTTTATTGCAATATAACCTGATCAACTGCTAGTTGCGTGAATTAAAATAATGATCTAGGATAATAATGATATAATAAGTGATCTAGGAATCATTTACTATATAACACTAGTCAATAATCACACAATCTCTAACAGATACTAATGAAAACTCCACTCGTTAATATCAGATACCATTATATATATATATATATCATTGCTTACAAATAATTACTAAAACTAAAAGCACACACACCTTAAAGTTAATGTAGATAGATAAGAGTGTCTACCAGATCGTGATTTCCTAATAACACCTATACACACAAAAAATATACATTGTTTACGTACAGAACAACAGCTTCTTCCACTAAAAGTATTTTTCCCCGTGGGACGGAGTCCACCCCCCCCCCACCACCTTACCCGGGCCGTCAACACCACATAATCCCGCACCAAATAATATTCCACAATGTTTACAGCTGTCCCCCCCCCCCCCAAATAAAACGCCTTCGGATAATAACTACAATTAATTATTCATATCTGACATTACTCCAAACTAGTCAATAACACTGGTAACGAAACTAATGTTTGCTCACGACAACATTTAGGGTCCGCGACGCTGGCCGGCCAGATACCATGAGGTAACGTGAATCCTCACTCGTCCAGCCCTGAGCAACGTACATATCTCACACCGTTACCACATATTAAATCTCTAAAAAAAAAAAATCCCAAACAATTTATACATATAAATCCACTAAACACACATGAAGTATACAACTTGATGACTGTATAACATGACATAAAATAAATATTAACATTACTGTACTGCAACTTGAATATCTCAAATACATTGGCAATGAACATGTATGTTACGAAAGGCTGAAACCTTGAAACTGAAAGGGGAAATTTCGATAATACTACAAAATTGATTAATTGTAATCACAGAATAATAATTATAGCTAGTTGTACCTGTAATACCTCCAGTACCTCATCATCATCATTTAAATATAGGTCAAGATACCCTAATGGGTGAGCGTGGAAGTGGGGATAGGGGAAGAATTAGTGGGGGTGAGAGGAAGGGTTTTCAGTATGAGGTAAAGTGCCAGGGCTAGACCCAGCTGCATGGCATTGAAATCGTTATGACCAGACTAGGCAGTGA